ACAAGTGCTACCAGGTGTAGCAGATCTACTGTAGCAGAGATATTTACTTATGCACTGCATGCAGAGGAAAGACAAGCCCAAAAGAGCTTATATGTCTTAGGGTTCTTAACTCTCCCAAGGTTAGCTTCACAAGCTTATGCCTTTTGGTTGCAAACAACAACGTCTCCAAGAGACTAGTATTAAAGATATAGTTTCTTTTAGAAAGGATGAGAACGCTCTAGCACTAGTGCTATTCAGAGCAGGTTTCAAACTGATTTATTTATATGTTTATCTTCTAGCACTAAATATAGAAGCGCCTACTCTATACTTAGCGCTAGTCACTATTTACTGGCTCTATAGCAAATTAATATACATGCATGCATTGTATTGTATAGTCACTATACTTAACTAAGTATAGTAGCCACGTGGCTTTCTGCCACGATGCGACCCTTCGTACCTGAAATACGGTCACATGAACCTATCACTCTACCCAAGGTACAGCCACACCACAATGGTGTGGCAGGTGTGTATGTAAAACACACATCTTTGTGTAAACCCGTTACATAAAAACATAAGCTTTAAACCTGCTTTAGTAAGATTTTGCTACTTATCGCATTGTTCGTTGAATAGCAAGTAGTATCTGTGATAGCGGTCTTGTAGAGACGCTAGCTGTATAATTAAGAACGCATAAGCTTGTAGCGCTAGCCTTGTGAAGTTCAAGTGCTGAAGGCGTAAATTTCTGTAAGCTTTACGCCTTCAAGTTTGGCTACGGTAGCTCGTCTACACGGGTAACAGCAGCGAACGTCCACTTCAAATGATTTTTAGTTGTCACAGGCAACTTATTTTGCCTAAAATCTTTCGATAGCCCCGTCTACAACCGTTTTGGTCTGAAACAACCTTTTTGTATGCAGCACGTGACTATTTTGGGTAGGATGACGACCGGCACAATTCGTTCTCCTCAAGAGCTCTCAGTTCTTACTCCCGTGCAACCATTCACTAGTTTTGAAGTCCATTTTCATGGCTTGTCCATTGTCTTTCGTGTCTGCCTCATGCGCATTATTCACCACGTCACTATTCTCAATGGTTGTGTTTCAGCCGCTTTTACGCGCAGCTTATGCGCCGCTGCTCTTGTCCTCTGCACAATGCGCATCCATCCATTCTTCTGTCTTTAACTTTTGGAAACTTTCCCGAAACCGATGCCAAGCGTATCTTCTACAAATATTCATTGTAATTCTTGGCTGCCTTATCAGTCTCGTGATATGCGCGCAACATAGCTGCTTGTCCCGCTCCTCATTCAATTTCTTCACGTTTATGACTTGTTGAGTCGCGATCACGATTTTTATGCTCGGGATAATGAATCGGGCCCCTTTCATTTCGTCACTATTTATCAATGATCAACCCTTGTTTACCACGCTCGCCAAGCGACTTATTCTGCGCGTCCCTCCTGGTTCATCGTGCGCTCTGACCCAAATACTACTATATTCTCTAAGTATGGGGTACTATTCGTAAGCATCTTTAGTGCTGGCTGCCTTTCCAAGCCAATTTTTTTAATCTTCGATTAAGAATATATGCTGCATATTTAACAGCATCTCCCAAACCTAAGCGGTCGTCCACAAGCAAAAATCATGCGGTGCACCATATTCATTGTGGTGCGGTAAATCTGTGGTGGATTGGGTTCTCAACACTGCGTGATGAGACCCCAAGCCACTCACTGTGCCGTACTGCCGACTGTCGGAGGGGGTACCTCGATGCCGCGTATAGACCTACTCTCACCTTATGTACCCGTCGGCTGGCGGACTGCACTCTTTAGAAGACTTGATAAAGATATGGTATCGGCCTTGAAAGAGGTCGAATTCGGGGGTGCCTCGAGTGGATATGCCGGTCGAACTCGAAGGACCAGTTCAAGGTCCATTGACGAAGAAACGAGGTCTACCTCGAGGGACCGAGGTCGACAGAGAAGGACCAGGGTTGACCTCAAGGGACCGAGGTTGAGGGACCACCGATTAGGCACCAAGGTCTACCTTAAAAGACAGAAGTCTAACGATGAGGGTTCGAGGTCCACATTGAGGGGCTGTGTGAAGTATATGCTACATTGCATGATCACGTATTGGATATTATTCCCACCATCTTTCGACCGGCGTTGTAAAACCTCTCCGCCAATCCGGTGAAGTGGTGTCCGAGAACGTCCAACTAGACATCCTCGCTCCACTAAAAACCACTTGCTCGTTCTGAGAACGTAATCTGCCTCACAACATGTTGTCTCACGATAGATGACCACTTCCAAGTCTTGGGTAAAGCTCCTTATGATCGAAAGGAAGAATACCTAGCTTCCTGTGTCTCGTGTCTGGCTCACTATCTTACTGTAGTCCTGGTGCAACATGTGGTGGCGGCGCCGGTTGATACATCGGTGGCGGTACGTAATGCTGCGGCAGCGCTGGGTGCGACGCTTGCACCATCTCAACATTGGCTGCTGCACCAGAGTATCCAGGTAGGTAGGAGGTGACGACACTGCGGATACTCGCCGAGGCAGTGATACACTCAACTCTTTCCTGTTCATCGGCATTCCTGTCCCAATATTGATCCAGTCACGCTATCCTCGTGACTCTTTGAACGTCCATTCTCCTATTGTAGCTCTTGCGACGCCTCCATGCGCTCCATGCGCTCCGTGAGGTCTGTAAGGAGATCTCCTGCGTGTCCTTCTGTTGTTCCTTTACAATTTCATCTTCTCCTCCTATACTGCTGACCCTTTCGTGGCCAGTTCTTGCTTTAGACTGCACGCGGTGTTTCTTCGCGGCAACTGCTTTATCCATTTGACTTATAACCTGTTAGACTTTAATACGTCTAGGAGATGCCGTAAAAATTAGAAGCGCCATTGGTTTTACCTTTGTCTTAACAATTTGTACTTGCTTACTCAACCATCACACCAATGTGTCTAGAGCACATCCTGAGATGTTCTTACCCTTTCCCGACGAGAGTGTTCGGCCCGAAATGTCAGTTTTAACAATTGCTATAATAATAACAATGCTAAGTAATATGCACGACAGCCACCCAATACGAACTTGTACCTATCTTGACCGCCGTCCCGATGCTTCACGGTTACAATATTATTATGTATTTGCATCCCTCTATGTATATTCCTATACCATAACCTCTTATCCCTGTTTAGATACGGTTGATAACATAACGTGCTTGAAGAAATCGCTCGCTTGCTTAACGCTATTTTCAGATACTCGTTTTTATAAATAAGCGCATACTGTGATAGTAGTACCCATAGTTTAAGAAGAAAATCTTTCTTATGACAAATTGTGCTGCTGCCTACAAGCCTCAATTGTTCTTTTATACCAATTGTAGCTAAATCGTGCTCACTATTTTATTTATTGGCTAAATTTATTGGATAAAACATTGAGCCACTAAGCATTTAGGATCATGCTATCGCTGGGCATTTACCTTCACCAAGTGCGCGCCGTCTCCGCAATCCGTTCCTCTTTCATCCTGTCACGTCAGCGTCATACGTCTTATGTAATCTATGCCGCTCGTTTTTTTCAATCTTTGGGCCTCAGCAATGCGCTATCCAATCGTTTGTCACAATTAGGTCTAACAACCCCAACTTCTGTCCAATGCAAGGCTATTCCACCCATTCTGGCAGGCCAGGACGTGGTTGTAGCTGCAGAAACGGGTGGAGGTAAGACTTTAGCATTTTTGCTGCCCGTGGTGGAGCAATTGAGTCGGAACTTGCTGCCACTCAGCGAGATGCGCCTTCCAATTGCTCTCGTGCTCACTACATCCCAGGAATTGGTGCGTCAGTTGATGACGGTGCTAACTCAGGTGGAACCAGAGCTTGCACAACTTGCAGTGATCTTGTCGTCTTCTAGGCAAAGCATAGGACACAGTGACAAGCGTGCGTGTCCGCTAGTGTTTGCCACTCCTGGAGCGCTGCTGCGTGCCACCAAACCAAAAGACTTCGCTTTCACTCAGATGGTCGTCGTTGATGAAGCCGACATGCTGCTCAGTGGCGGATTTGAGAAGGATACCAAGCAAATTCTTGCGACGATCCGCAACCAACCTTTGTTGAAATCTGAGCTTAATCGTTGTGGAGATACAGACGCAAAACCTCGAGAATTTCGAGGTGAAGATGTTGCTACGAAACATACCCAGACCATTTTTAGTGCTATATCCTCTTCACCTTGTGTAGGACTTGCGTATCTCTTCTGTCGATGTACCATGCCCGATGGCGTCCTTAACTTGTTGCGGATTTTGTGTTATTTTTTCTTTTTGTTGTGGCTGTGAACGCTACGATCCCAGACTATGGTAAACGCTCTGTGCGCCACTACATCGACTATAAATTTTCGTCGGCTGTATTCGCCATTACTAAGGTAGTGTTCTCGTCGCTGCTTTCATTTGGTTTCTTTGAAATTTATCGTAGTGATGTGTAGGGCTTTCACCGGACGTTGCCAGAGGTGACATTTCGTACGCAAAACCTGCTAGCTTACATGACGCGCCATCGTTTCGTGGACAAGCAGTATGCTCGCTGTGAACTCTTGTACGATATTTTGACGTTCGCGGGAGACAGTGATATGGGCAAGTTGAAAAAGTCGGGAGGGGAAAAGACACTAGTCTTTACCAACTCCATCGCCAGTGCCGACGCGCTTTTCGACTTTTTGCAAAATGACAAGGGCATGGTAAACTGTGCACTATTTCACAAAGAGGTAGGTCGCGCACAACGTCAGCTGCTTTTAAAGCGACTAGACAGTGAAGCCGATGCCGACAGGGACCTCGTCGTTGTTTGCACGGATATTGCAGCGCGAGGCCTGGATACTACCAAGGTGGGCCATGTCGTACAATTCGAATTTGCTGGGGACGTGGTGAGCTACCTGCATCGCATTGGTCGCACAGGTCGTGCAGGTACAGCGGGTACTGTGACTAGTATTGAATCATCCGAAAACAGCCTAGTGCTCGCCAAAATCCGAGAGGCAGGTTCATCCAGGCTGCAGAATGCCTTTAGTCGAAAACGCAGTCTTCGGAAGAAGTTTAGAAAATCGCTACGCCTTAGCAACATGGCCGCGGGTAGTCCTTAAGTCCATGAATAGACGGACAAACTACATGTTGCTCCCGACTTGTGTGTCCTATCGCTGTAAAACTCCATTTTTGTCTCTGCTTGCCGCAAAAGTCTGCATGTCGTCTTCATTTTTCGGTTTGAAGCCGCTTCTTGCAATGGCTGACATGAGGAAGCGTAAATCAAAGTGTGAGTCCTTTGCCCTTGCAATGGTTTACAACGTCACACATACTTCTAACATACCCAACAAGTCATTTTCGCAAACGACGGCATTATCTCATCTGCTTGCTTGAACCTACATGTTTGTGGTGAACTACACCAAACATAAGACAACCGCGTCTTCGTGGTCACAGGATGTAATCACTTTTTTGGCAAAATCTATCGATGACTCATCGCTCATTGTTGGGACAGCAAAGCAAAAGTCCGGCAACAATCGTGTCTGAGTTTTTGTTGGTGGCCTTCAAATTAGCTTAGCTACATTAAATGTGCAGTATGACGGCGACATTGGCAATCCCTAGATTTTGACTGGTACTAACTAATGTGCAAGCACCGACTTGTCAGCTGAAACAACTATCTCTATCGGTTGCTGCCGGGATGACAACGACACACTTTGTCGGATATGAAAGAAAACACTGCGACCTATCTATGGCACGACATCAGTAGTTACCTAAGCGCTTGTGGTGCAATCTTAACGTCAAAACTTACAAAGAACTGCGAGCTATTCGTGTCAACTACAGCAAATCGTGGAGCGCGCCGATTAAACAGTCGCAATTTTCATGCGCTGCAAGCCACCTTGGGGAACTCAAATGTATTGCTATATGTATTGAATGTCGCTTATCGACATGGTAGCTTACTGCGACATCAAGGTGCGATTTATTAAAATTTTGCCGCGACCTGACCGAAGCAATTGCCTTTTCCTTTTCATAGGTTTTCAGGCCATGATACAGTCGTGCAACCAGGACACAATTCAGCAGGGAGATCGTTCACAACAATTCTGACGTGTTTTTTTTTCATTCCTTGAGAGATGCATGGAAACAACGATGTTGCGGTGGTCATAATTGAGCGTAAGGTACTGGAGCAATGCAAAAGGTAGATCTTATGAAGCAACATTCGGGGAGGTTCCATTTTCTTAAGTAAGGAGCCGATGAAGCTACTTCCCCATGAATATCAACAAGTCATGTTGCACCTCTTGAATGGAAGCATCTGCTTGTCAGTGTACCACCTGCGAAGCACTAGCCGCTCCATAGATTTTGATGCATCTGTCATCTATCTGTATACTGGGCCGTCTGAGTCGGCAAAACACAGACGTCATCAATCCATACGATTGCAAACTGATTCCAACATCACCAGTATTATTTTCTCTGTCCACTGAAAGTCAACAGCGTCTATAAAGTAATCCCTGCGAGGTTTCACGCAGGAGCCAGCTGAAAGCAATTTGGACGTCATATAAGATACAAACTTGACAGGTCTTGCGCAAAAGAAGATTCGTCTCAAAAGTCAAACGTAACGTGAAACTAGCAACAGTGCTAAGAACAGCGTACCTGTGCTATCTACATCAAAACAGAAAGGCGGCATCACTCAAGGCTCTGCTCTCCAATCGAATCGTTTCTGGTCTGGCGACACAAATACTCGGGATATGAGCAATGAAACTGGAATGCGCTCACAGTAGCCTTAATATTTGTGGAGATAAGTCGACACGAGATGGATTCCTTAGCTGCTATCTTGTCAACAAAGATGTGTATGGCACCTAAACCAGTCTGATTCTGTGGCTTGCAGACTTGATTGTACTCCGTTTCTCAGCTATCGACATAATTGTACCGTCTCTTTTTGTCTTTTTCTTGCCAGTCACTTCATCTGGAAAAATCCATGTTTGTTCTATACCGAATAAATATCAAATATTGTATTACAATTTTGGGCAGACAAATCCAGATCAGGCGCTGGGACCGCCTTCATCACGAGTAAGGTAGTTGTTTCGACCACAAGTCAAGCGCAACTAGAGGCAATCGACACAGCTGATACTACCCAGCAGAGCACGCAGGATGGGTAAAGATTGCTTCGTCATGACATACAAAAAAAGGGGACATCGAAGAGAGGATGCGGACATGGTGACAATGGTAAAAAAGTTGTCATCAGTCGTTGAAAGTAGTATCGCGACGTGCGAGCATCTTACAGTTCTTCAAAAAAGGCCAGCAGCTTCATTGGTAAAGTAGATGGATGGCTCCTTTGACAAATTTTATAATCATCGTGTCGCGCAGATGTCATGACAATTAACTGTTTTCTATGCAAAATAAATTTATTGAGCTCATCTCCGGTCGTCAAATACATCAGCTAACAAGACTATTTGGCCGCCCACGGTCTGCAACGAGGTTTCTCGCCAGGTACATCGCGAAGGCTTTGTCCTTCATACCGCTCAAACATATTATAGACTGAGAAAGCTAAAGTATACTATATCTACTGCTCGAGGCAAAACGTCAAAGCTGAAGTCCTTAATCTTATGTATCGTTCTCCAACGCAGCGTTGAAGCGATATTCTGACGAAGCAACAAGCTGGGCAACCGTCCAGCAGGCCAAGGCCTGGATCTTTCCAGATGTCAAAATAAAGTCGGTGTAATTACACGCGCCACAGTGAGTTCGACTCCGATAGTTTCAGCAGTTCATATTAGGTACCACAACAATACACCTTTCTCAGGGATTACAACTACCGTCCTTTTAGTATTTGTCTACGGTTGTTATGTGAGCTTTTACACCTGTCTATGCGTGAGAGTTCAGTCACTAAAAAAATCGTCGAAATTATTAAAAGGTTTTATTTTACTTAATAGAATATATTGAGTCTCCAATTATTAAATAATGCTCCATTTCAAACCCTTATGAAGTTGAAATTGCTAGTAATCGCAAAAGAAATCATTATTTGGATTAATTGCTTTAAATGCTGAAAACGGAGCGACCTCACCATGAAATAAAGGTCGTATTAATTTACCTTTAAAACCAATTGAGTATTTCTATCGATTGTAAACAACCAGTGTAATAGTAACAATTTTCGTTGCATTCGCTCAATATTACTTACTACTATAAGGCAAGGTCATAGAAATAGCTTGTAATTTAAGAAAAACTCAAATCGATCCTTGTCCCCAGCCAGTAAACGTAGCTTTTAGCCAGTCTATTTCGCAGTGTTACATCACAATTTATGCCACCACTGAATTCAACATCAGACGATACCACCAATAGTTTTCTGACTAAAACCTCAACCCCTTTACCTGAAATAAGGGGCACTATTACTACATTCGATATTTAGAAGCAGCCACCTCACGTCGTCAATTCAAGTGTCAGAAAATGCCACACGTTTTGCTTCCTACGCGGCCCGTACCGCTGTCTTCAATGCATGTGACTGACCAACACTCTCCAAAAGACGATGAAATAAAAAACTCTTCCGTTTGGCTTACAACGCCAGTCGTGTCTTTACCTACGACTGCGTCACGGTTTTCGGCATGCAAACGACGTGCATCGTCCCTTGGCGACCTTTTTCCGCGTCCACAGAAGACTGCGTCACCGGCAGAAGCTCTGGCAAGCGCTTTTCACATGATTTCAAGCAGGACTCATCAGAAAATTGCCAAATTACGGTCCCGTTCGGACCTGTTCATAAAAAAATCGACACGTGTGAATAACGGCGGATGGAGACTCCAGGTCAATAATTCCATTAAAAGAGCAGCACTTGTGAGTAATGCTCGATTTAAGTGGGGAGAGCAGCATATGCTTCAACATGCACAGGCAGCCTTTGATTTCCACGGAGAAGATGCAGGAGCAGCGTCCTGCTATTTTCACATTGTGGCGGACGGAGTTTCGTCCCCCTTTGGACGCCAATCACTCGTTGATTACGACGGAGTGCCAGTGTCTTCTGCTATATTATCGAAGGAACTTGTGAGATGTGTACGCATTGTGTTGGAGGAACTGAGTAGCCACAACAGGGAGCAATTGGACCAAGCAGCTTTTGAAGGTGGAGTGGTGGACGCAATTAAAACGGCGCGCATTAATTGTTTTCAGCATAGGAAATCAAGACTGGCAACGACGTTGGCTGTATCGTACTTTAACCGATGGACAGGGACTTTGCTGACGTTCTCGCTTGGAGATTCCAAATGTTTGGTTGTACGGCGAGGAACTGTTGTTTATGAGACGCTAGCGGTCCTGCGTGAGTTTAACATACCTACAGTTGTCAATTTGCGGGAGCAGTTGGTACCGAAAGCCTACGTTGTGCAGAGCTTTGCGCTTCAAGAAGGCGATACGTGTCTTACTTTCTCCGACGGATTGGGTGATAATCTGTACAAGGACGACATTACTGCAGCTCTAGCGGCATCGGAGCTGTGTGAGACGGGATTGCAAAGTGTATGTGACCAACTTATTAATATGTCCAGGGGACACGAGAAGATTTCATTGCATGGCAATGGTGGAGTTGGTGAATGCCAATTGTATCCGTTCGCAACTGCTGCGGTTTTGGAGTACCGTAAGCGTACGTTAGAGGAGACCAAACTTGCCGCTGGTGGCTTATTAGATCCCAGCGGGGTCGACCACATGGCGCTGTCACTTGAGTTGATAGAAAGACACAAAGGCAAACAAATTTTGGACCGACATTTGCTTTTGCGGAGGCCGTCGCGAAAGCATCACTATTCCCTCATGCAGCTGCGACTAATGGCGCAGATGGCAACGAAAAAGCCGGATGACATTACGCTTTATATGACACGGTTTGTATAAGTGGAAATGGAACAAACGACATAGTGTGTGCTTCAGTCAGTGTCCATCCTGTTACCGCTGTTCCGTCATTGTTGTCGATTTGATCTACTTCATCCAGCTCACATATCCGCAACGGGATTGGCATGCATGATGACGGATTGAGCTGAGGGAGGGATTTTTGGTATCTACAGGCGCTTTTTCATGGCATTTAGCGTGTCCATACCGTCAATAATTCTGTCAAACGAATGCCACGAAGTGAAGTTGAGGAATGGTCAGTATTTATTAGCTCGACAGTAGTGTGCTGGTCCATACTCATCAACAAGAGACACACTAGATCGTAACACGGTGAGTTTATGCAGAGCATACAACATTCTTGACACTCTTCCATTTCCAACGACTTGCCCAAGGTCGTGTAAACATTGTTAAGATGAAGTTGCTTGGCGCATGTGATGAGAAATTGTTGTTTGTTGATGTTGGAGCCAAATGGCCATGGAAATGATGCCTTGGAGGCTTTTCGTTTAAATGCAAGCACGCGTCGAATGCCATCAAACACAGGACAGCTTTTTTCTGGTCCAAGATTTCCACAGTTTAACACCTGAGGCGTTGCTGTAGCCGTCTAGATCAGTTAGACAAAAACTGGTTTCGCACTTGGTTAGATTGGGACTAGCTGTAGCCCTTTCTTGATCGCTTGCATTTCTAATTTGGCCGATTTCTCTATATGTGGCTCCAGTTTTGCCTGTGTTCTGCCCTCATCTTCTTACAACTCGCGCGGTTTGCCAGTTCTGACAAACCCAAAATGTGGATATAGACTATTTCCATTAGCTGTCTTGTAATAACTTGAATTGAAAGCGTCAGATGATCAGCGATTTACCTTTTTGTTTATCTTTTGATGTAAATCATAAATGATACTTGAGTTGTTGCTTGCAAGTAACGCATTTACGCAGAAAAACGGTTGAGTCTTGAATATGTTTCTGCTTATAACATTGAAACGATTGTCAACCGTGAAAAGCAGCACTTTTACCAGACCGCATAAGTAGGTTACACATGTTGTCACGTCGAGTCGAACGTTAGAAGACACTGACTGCGTCACGGGATGTAAAGAAGCCAGAGTGCTTGAAAGCAATGAGCTTTCTTACATGACGCAGAAGCAGATAACGAGTAACGCCTTCACCCGATTAGGAATAAGTGTTTTAGGCAAAACACAACTTTGAGCAATGGGGCATTGTGTATGCCGTTCAGGAGTGTACGACCGCCTTGTAAAACGAACACCTGCGAATGGGGCATAGAAGGCGGAGGGAGTAAAGACGATGACAACACTGACCACGCATAGCGCATATTCTCGGCGTTGATTGACGCAAATCCACACTGGACGTTTCCGTCACTGAAGCTCTTTGCCTCTAGCTCTTTGTCACTTAATGATATGTACCTTGTAATTTCTTCTTCATGGACAATGGAATGTCAAACCGTACTATTTTTCTCTATCAAGGTTGCGTGAGAAATTACTAATTGTCGGAAGGTATATTTTGATTCTACAATCGATGTGGATCCCATCATAAGCTAAGCATGATGCTATGCTAGCTGCAATACACGCTTGCTAGCATGTTTCACGTGACAATGTACTTCAAAGCCTTAAATAACTTACTAACAGCTCGCGGGCATGCTCTTCCCGTGGACATCATATTTTCAACGGCGCGCGAACCGAAAGCCACCGTTGTCCACCTGTAAACAATCACTTCAACTTATTTCGAGTTGCCACTAGATCAAAGCCCACGCAAGGTACGGAGCACTTTTGTTTACTGGTGCATCATTCTGCTTGCAGCGTAAGCACCGCTCTCCATCCGGCTTTCGCATGCGAATCATCTCGCACATCATGCATCGCCGTGGAGGTATTACTGCGCTAGTCTGCGCTGCAAGGGTGTCCTTAGCTGAGACAGATATACCAGATGTTGCCATTGTCGTCGCGCGTGCTCGCGATGACACACCAGGCAACGTGCTCTTCTCAGTGTTTAAAGAAGTAGAAATCACTGATGCTGCGGCAAAAGTAGCGATGGTTTCAACACTTTCGATTAGGGCAGAGTCGGGCGCAACGGGCGCAACGGGCGCGGTAGAAGCTGCAAGTATAGCAGCAGGTTCAGGTAAACCAGCATGGTGGTTCGGGGGGCACTGTTATCGATTGGCGCGGCGATCTTGCTGAGGTTAATGCGCTCATGTTAATATCATCTACAGAAGAGCATAAACAAATTTGGTCAACACCTTGAGAATAACTGATCCGTGCAGTCACAAAGTAAGCACTCACCATGAATGATCTTTTCCTCCAACAGGTCACATTGTTTTGCAGCTTCTGCCAATTTATGGCTATCGTTAGAAATTAAAACCGGTGTGCTCGCTACAGTTGCTTTCTCTATGCACTTCCTAGTGGCGGGAGAACCGGACCTTTCGGCATAAGAATGTAACTCGCTAGTTAAAGGTACCTCGGCAGACGGCGTGTCAGCAAGATTTCTTGTCACTTGGTGTTGCTTAATAGGCACGACAGAAGACGGCTGGGCGGCAGGTGGAAGTAGCTGGACTGAAGATGAAGGCCCACGAGAAGACCGGTCGGAAGAAAATTCCTTTTCGGCCTCGGCAGTCGGAGATGCATGTGTATTGTTGTGGATCAATGACTCGCATCTTGAAGGTCGATGGTGACCTGTGGCACTAGTGCTAACTTCTTCCAACACCCGTTCACACTTGACTGTAGGACGACGTTCGCCTCGACCTATGCTCAGCAAAAAATTCAGCGCGCTGATAGTGGCTAAACGAAAAGCCTCCCGCTTATCTTGATGGCTGCCACTCCCAATCTCTACCTTTCCAACAACAAAAGTCCAGTGATGGAGCCGTGCCCCGCAGAAATATTTAGTCTCTCTTGGTAGCGAAATATAATTTCCCGTGTGCTTCAAATCGTTCCAAGCACGAACAAAAGAATGGCTTTTGTTTGCTTTGCAATAAGCTAGAGCTGTCTTCATCTCCTCGTTCAACCTTAACCACGTCACTGCCTCGGCCCGTAAGCTTTTGATGACCTCAAGATGCAGCGCCACCGTAGACGTACCTTGCAACGTAAGCCACTCACGGCCTTGCACAGTCACTACTGATTTTAAGCCATCAAACTTCACATGAAGATCGAACGCTTTGCATAGACGCTCGATCCGCTCGATGTAGTTGATATACCAATTCATCTTTCTCGGCTTCTTCGTTACATTCAACACAGCTTCTAATGCATGAGGCAACTTCCCAACAAATACTGACAGCAACCGTGGTAAAAACGCTTCGTTGTGTGAAAAGGTTGGTGCGTCCTCCTCTAAGTTGCCGCAATCAGATTTTTTCAGTTCAACATTTGTGTCATGCTCACTTCGGCGATGCTGAGCTGATAAAGGCTCCTCGTGCGAGATTGATCTCCTGTAAATATGATCTGCTGGAGATAATGCTGAGCTAAAGTGTCTATCCACTGCGTAGCCGTTGCCGCTATTATTGATGCCAGCCAGAGAAGATGAATCCTGCGGTCGGAATGGGTAGGGATCGCGAGGTGGTGGCAAATTGCGATACTCTCGCTGAGACGCAAACCGTTCCAACTCGCTGCAGACCTCCGCTCTTTCTCGGTACTTCATCCCGCTTCCTTCGTTGCCCCGAAACAGTCGCTGATGTCGTCCATCGCCTTTGGGACATGGTCTACGTGAATCAAGAGCAGAGCGAGCCTCCGTGTAAGATAGCAATGGAGCACTATCACTAGGATTGTATCCGGGCAGGTCTGTCGATATGGTAGCTACTGGTAAAAATCGGAAAGCACGATCATCGCTAAAGCTACCAGAACGTTCGAGCGATGACGATCGCGATACTCGGCGGTTTATCTCTTCGGGTTTCTGCCGTCCACAATCCCTTTTCTTACTCTTCAAGTAATCGGTTGTCGAAATTCGGGTTATTTCAGGCACTCCAGATGTAGAGAGTGGATCGGGGAGAAATCTTGTTGTAAGCGTTCTATCTGGTGGTGCTATAATCATGACGGTTTCAGCAGTTGAACTAAGCACCGGCGGAATTGCCAAAGAAACCTGAGAGGGTAGCGGTGGTGATGGTCGTTGAGTCATGAGTGGCGGTGCTGCTGCTACTAGTTGTGTCCTTTGTGCAGGTCTGGATGACGTATTTAGCAAAGATGCAGAAAGGGGCGCTGATACTAGAGGTGCCCGAAACTTTGTCATACTAGGGGGCCTTGGTCGCGGATCTGACGGTCTTAACGATTGCGCAGCGAATCGATTTCCGTTCTGTACGTATCGTCCTCCTCCACCAGCAAAGCTGGTGTGGCGAGCAACACCAAGGGGTACAAGATCTACATTCATGTTTCTTCTAATCACCTGCGCTGAAGTCCTCCTTTTATCTGGATTTGCGACGTGGTTTTTATAATTTAAATCAGCACCGGATGTAGCAGTAGCTACATTTGTAGGAGAAGACAACGAGGAGCGAGCCAAGACTTTGTCCACACTCATGCGTCTATCCAGTCGACGTCGCTTGACTTGAATACTATTAGTTTCTTTCCCAGTTTCCGCATCACTACCTGTTTCTGTAGATTGCCGTTCTAGTGGTAATGTACTCATTTTATGCTTTCCCATGGGAAAACCACATTCATTCGTTAATGATAAGCATCGTGCCTGTGCATTTGACGAATCAATGGAAACAGGGCTTTCTTTCCTTTTACTCTCCGCCGCTGCTGCTTGAGCTTTTTTTGCTCTCTTCTTTCGTTGTTTTTCTTCCTTTGGTTCCAATTCATATAATTTTGTCGCCACTTCTCTTTTCTTATCTCTTCCCAATACTTTTTTCGTCTGTTCTAGACTACTTGAATTGCTGTTTTTCTCTTCATTAGCCACAGAAACAGTGAGATTCAGGTTCAATCGTTTTTTTCTAACAGCGCTTGAGTTTGCATCATTTGATTTCTTCCTTTTATAGAGAGTAAACGTTTCATCTCTTTTAACCTTTTTCTTCTTCATCTTCTCCTCCGCCTCCTTCATTTCCTCCTTTTCATTTATTTCTTCCTTTTCATCCATTTCCCCACTAGCTTTTTCTTTTCTCTTTCTTCTCTTAATTATAAGAGATAAAGGCCTCGAGTCCTCCTCGTCCTCTTTTGCCTGTACATTTGCCAGACACTGCAACTTTAGTGCCCGATAGCGCTGACATATCGGTTTGTCCTCACAGTATCTCGCAAAACGATTGGCTAAAATCTGCCGACAAAAGAGGTTTCTGCACTCATTATTCGACTCAAGCTCTTGGCTTTCTACTTCCTCTTCTTCTCCTTCTTCTTCTTCTCTCTCTATGGAAGTCTGTGACCGCAGCCACAGCTGACGCTTGCTCATATTATTCGCCGAAATGGGCGTAAATTTGCGTGCCGAGAGACATTGCAGGCGACACCCGTGCTTTTCCTTGTGTGCCATGAGTGATGGTCGCTACTTTGGTTTGAGTTTCGGTTTGACAAATTGACTGTTAGCAAATAATTAAGCTATTTTGTAAATAATTAGCTAAATAGTAGATAAATAAACAAATATGTCCCATGTTCAATTGTGCATCATGTTGATGAAGAATTAAGTTGTTCGTCTTCACTTTGCTACTTCCACGTCAGAACGATTCACAGATCGGCCATCTCATCCGGGCGTTCGTTGGGGTTCACTAGACCAGGCACTGCCAGCTTCGCGGCCAATTCCTGTTTCTCCTGCAGTTGGGTCCGAGCAAGATTTTCTTCCAAAAACAGATCTGCATTGTCCTCTCCAGCAAATTCCTTGATGTTGACGAGAAAGTCACGCAAGTGCTTCTTGAATGCCGGCAGGTCTTTTGACATGTCGAAACAGCCAACTACAAACTCTACCACTTGGGCATGGGATAGGTTCGGAAACGACGAGCCGATCAGGTTAGCCACGTAACTTTTGAGCAAAGGCTGAAAGATCAAAACGCAGAGCACAAACATCTTAGGACAACTCTTCCAATGCAGCAAGTCCAAAATCAACGACCAACGTACCGCCTGAAGCGCGACATCCGAGTTAGGCACAGACTCCCACAAAGGCACAGTCACGTGGTTGTTTTCCACGATGGAGAACATGTGACGCAAGATAGCCGCGTGCAACTTAAAGCCAAACTTGTGAAGACGGTCGGTCAACACGGCCAAAATATCCTGCAACAACAGCAGGTAAAACGAACGGTAGAAACCTGCTGCGATCTGAGGGTTTTCTTGAATGTTTAGTAGCAGAGCAAATAGCGTAGCAAGACCCTGGTTAGCACAGTAGTTAGCAAGTTGCAATATCTGTCAGTTCTAATCATACTTCATCTAGTCCGCAAAAATATATCTACTTGCTGGGTCACTTACCGTATCTGCAACGTTGCGCTCCGTGTGCTTGAAAGCCCAAATTATCGAGTCCACAACCAGCTTTTGGTGCTCTTGAGGAATACTGAACAGCGCTTCAAAACAGAAGTCATTTACAGCCTGCAGCAGCTTGAAAAAGTTCATGCGGTGCTCTGGAAAATCCTCAAAGTTTTTTGTAATCATTTGGAGTGTGCACTCAAATACAGATTCCAGGATCATGGGCACTGTGGGCGCGATGATATTCTTGAGCTTATTAATGCTAGTTGCAAGCAAACTAAGCACCTCTGCTTCTTTTGCCGCGGGAGATGTGCTCTGGTAGTCCGAAAGAATAGTCTCCAAAAGCTTAGGCAGAAAGTGAGTGGCCACGAAGTGTCGCGCAGAGTCATCGCCCGCTGTGTGCTCCACGAACGCATTCATCAGGCGCAAGCTTTCCTTTTTGGCACTACGCAGCGAGCGCACTTCCGACGTTTTCACTGCAATCTCTCCACCTTGCTCAACCATCGTTGCAATGCGCTGCGTGTACGCCACGTAAACGTTTAGCATGTCCTGAAAAATGTAGCCCATTTGAGAGTTAAAACCATTGGGTCCGATAGCCTTGCACACTTTTACGTTCGTCCGAATAATTTTCACAATCTCTTTAATGCCTCGGCTGTCGTACAAAATGCTCACATCTTGAGCTGCTTGGGACATGATGGACTTCCAAGCCTCATTTGGAAGATTCATTAAGCGACCAAGAAGCACTTCCTTTCGGCCAGCATCATTTTCGGCAGCAAGCATAGATGCCACAGCCTCGTAAAACGTGTGCACCTGGTGAGTTTCCAAATCCGACACAATACGAGGCAGCTCCTCGAGAAGCTCTTCTACAAACGGGCGAGTTTCACCACACTGCAGAACGACAAACTTACGCCGACATTTTTGCGAAATTTTAAGAAACGTATCACATGCCATATCTTGTACACCAGGGTGAAGCTCGTGCATAAACTCAAATAGCTTGTTCACGACAGTGCGCAGGAACTTCCAGTGTGCACGCAGAAAGCGCGGGTACTGGCCAACAACATACATAATGTTAGAAGCAACGACAGCCTTGTTGTCCTTGCCACGCTTCATCTCGCACAACCCCAGCAAATCCTTAATCACAGTGACCAAGAAACGCTTCTCGTTCTCTTCACTCATTGCGCCCGAAATCGATCCAATTGCCCAGCACAGCGTGTTCAGGTTATTCCATGACCACTCGGTGCCCTCGACCTGAGCAGTAAGCTTTTCCAGCATGATCGTCTCCGTGTCGTCATAGTTCAAGTGTGTCAGATACACAAGAGTCTCGTGCATCGTCTTGTACTGCGACAGTGCTTCTGTGTCCTTGGTCGTCTCGCGCACAATTTCGCCATTTTCGTCTTCTACGATCAGCACTTCAGACGGTTTTACCATCTTCGAGATCATGACGTGGCGTACACGATTCATAACAGGTGACACAAGGTCACGTCGGCTGCGTGTCTGATTTTGAAAGCCTGCAAGCGGATTCATCTGATTTTGATCAACCGTGTACAAATCTCGCGTAAAAAAATGCCAGTAGTCCAAACAGATCTTGAAAATGCTATCATCATCTACCTCAGCTATACACACAAGGTATGTGAAGCCTGCTAGTAGCGCTTGGTGAGCCTCATCGCCTGGAGCAGATATTGGTCGCTCGATAACTTGGATGTGGAAGCGAAAAAAGCTCGTGAAGAAGATACTCAAACGCTGAACGAACACCTCGTCCTGTTCCCAAAAAGGAGCAAATGAACTACCAGGCGGCAGGATTTTGCCCACCTCATTCAGTACACCCATGTACAACTGAACGTAAACGCTGTTATACTGCTCAGGGACATCGCTCAGCTGAGCGATCTCGCTCAAACAACTGATAGTGTCGTTCCGAAACACATTCGTTGCCAAAAACTTTGTAACAAGGATCTGGATAAGATCCGTCTCAAAGATAAACCCAAGGGGAATCCAGCTTAAGAAACGCAGCAGCGTTTGTAACGTAATCTGGAGAAGCGGGACGTGAGTCGACTTGTTCAGTACAAATTCACACAACTATAGCTCAGAGAGACATGTGCACGGATAAAGACGTCAAGAAACCACAGAAAATAACATTATACCCAAAGTTCCATTACGTACCTGAAAAATTTGGGTAAATTCGTGGTTCAGGCTTTCCTTTAGCGTCTTGGTCTTCTGTTCCGTCAGCTGGTCCTTAGAAAAGTCAAACACTTCTTCACTCAATAGCTTTAAGATTGTCATATTGTTCTCGCACATTATCTCAGACGTCTTGCTCGAGTTGACGATATCCGTAATGAACGAAGGCCAGTTTTGCGGCCATTCGTGCTTCAACACCTGCACTAACACGAGGTCCATCTTGTTTACGAACATTCGCTGGCTGTGTAACGTTGACTCATCTGACGACATCTGCAGCACACCAACTTAATCAACTACTTCACAACCAGAATAGCAAAATAAATGTTTCAATCAACGCACCGACAACAACTTGCCGACAATGTAGCTCTTGATGCCTTCACGTTGGACCTTAGGCAGGATCTTCCAGCGATAACGGATGGCATCCTCTAAAATCTGTCAAAGCCACTGTTAGCATACTATTTGATAACACATCCTGGCTACAGCAAGACACTGTACCTGTAGTCCAAAAAATTTGGTCTGAATACTACTTGACTGCTCCAAAATGTCAGACGCGCGCGTCCACGAGTCTTGATGCTCTTGTAATGCCACCATGATCTGGTTGGCCACTCGCTGGTGTGGGCTTTTAGGGTCATTCATGCACTGTACCACTTGATCCAGCGCTGCCACGTCAAAGGGCTGCGAGAAATCCATCAACTTTTGGCCCACATCTTCCATCTTGATCTTCTTATACCCTTTTTTCACTACTTAACAGCAGCAGTATAATCAGCATATGTATCGTTAGAGACAAACTATTTCGTTCTGCGCAAAGTAAGCGACGCGTAACAACGTGAAAAGTCCCTGCAAAACGTAAAAGTATGCTGCAGCTGTGTTTTCTTTACTTGCAATTGTTTACATGCAATTTTGCACCCAAACAACACGCTCTTTTTTTCAATGTCGTACCTAATTTTAAAGTCAATTTTCGATGCTACTTTTTCTCTAACACGATACCAACGTCGCTGATTACACACAATCAAACAAGAAATTCAAGCGCCAATCATTTAGAGTTATAACCGTTTCTTGCTACACATACACGGGATTCAAAAAGTCCATTCAGAAAAAGCCACACACACACACCTGAAACTCTGCCGTTTGTGCTTTAAGCTAGAAAGACAGTGAGCCAGAATCTTCCTTTGACCTGAGTTTTCATTGGGTATTTATATGCTTCAAGTAAATATCGGATTGGCTAAATAATACACACCAGTGACTGGATAAGCAAGCATTTATGTGGTACACATGAACCCTTTCGTAATCGTTCCCATAATCTTAAGCAAGAAAAGACGCACAAGTTTCCGTTCCTCGTCCGGGCTCGACCTTCTTTTTCCTCTCTCTCTCTCACTCTCATTACCTTCTAGTGCTACTTTAATGGTTACTGCTAATTCTACACAATATCAAGAAGAGGAAGAAGAGGAAGAAGAAGAAGAAGAAGAACTTGTTCCTCTATCTGCTTACGTTAATGTTATTCTGGACGAGACAGAGAGTGAAGAAGAACGTGAGCAAGTACAATGTCATCAACTGCCTGCTGCTGCCACCTTTGACGTCAAGGTGTCCAATCCACCGGTGTTAGATAAGTATTGTAAGCGAGAGGAGCAATTCAAATGGTGTCAGACGCTAAGATTGTGTAAACGCAAGCAAATGTCCCCCTTGAGGCAGCAACAACAGTCAGCATTAGCTATTGATTGTAAGTGTTGTGCTACCATTGCTACTGATAGTATATAGTGGCTTACGTTGTGGCGTGTATGCGGGCGGGGTGTTATCCGTTATCTTTGCTACAGATGGAGGTTTGATCGCTGCTGTGAAGCACGTCAATTCCAAGCCACCCGCACGACAACCTGATGCGAAGGACTTTGCAGAGGAAGAAATCGATAGCGATACTGCTGAAGTGAGGGCTTTCAATGGTCAAACGACACAGCTGTGGTTTGCAGTGGACCAAAAAAAGCATGCTGTAAACAGCACACCTGAGCTTCCGCAGCAATCTCTCCAGGGTGTCTCAACTTTTGCTTTATGCGAGACGCTGCCAGCGCATAATATGTCTGGCAAAGACGACAATAGCACTTTGGACAGCGATGACGACGTGTTTAAGAAGGAAGACGAAGACACCTATTCAGAGAATATAGATGCAGCGATTCAAGGGATGACGCGGTTTGGAAGCTACTCTACCAGTGACACACATCCTTCTATGTCATTGGCTGGACAAGGTACCATAGGCGAGAGGGAACACGGCACGAGCAGTCATAGTGGTCAGGAGAGCGAGAAATTTGGTCATGATAGCAAAGTCGCGGTAAGCGAAAGTGGAGGATTGGAGCTGGAGCGAGGCAAGAATGCTTCAAATCGAGCTATAAATGTTTGGAAAGCTCGTGCTATGAAGGAAGCTATGCTTGAGAACCTGATCCGGTTAAAGTTTTGCGAGGACATTACACGAGCAGCACTCGAGGCGGGTGTTTTAGAAATTTACAACTATGATTTGAACTGCGAGCTGGCATATGTAGACATCTTCATGTCGTTGATGAAAATGGTATGTGACGCACATCTTGATGTCATCAGTGAGGTCAACAATGCCTACCACAGTTATATGTTACATGATGAGAATGTTAGTGATCACGTACAATCCAGCATCACTCACGAAGATTCACCGTCCAGTTTAGAGCAGCACTCATTTCTCCCTTTCAAGTGGCCAATCATTGATATGGCGCGATTTGAGTTTGAAAGTGCACGCCCTGGGACGTGTTTCAATAGTGTCTGTGTGCTGACAAATCTACCACAGGTGTCAATGGACCGAATGCAAGAATTGGTGGAAGCTTTGTCTCGCAATGTTTTTTGCATGATTAATGACCCTATTCAAGTGGTCATGCCATCGGGAAGCTCTACTGGACGTACAAGAGGATGTGCTTTTCTTGAGTTCTGCGATCCGGATACGGCGCAGATATGTGCAATGGCAGTGGATGGATTGACATGGGGACGGGGGTCATTTGCCAGAATCAGAGGAAAATTGTTTCGACAGTACTACGTGACATCTCCAGCTGCAGAGGATTGGTATACAACTGTAATGAATGACAACAACGCATCATCTTCTTGTTCGCTCAGAGCAATTTCGGGGACTGGGTCATTGTCACATGCTACTCCAATATCTTCTACGGTTGAGCGTCATTACAGTCGAACAGCGCAGCGCTTTCAGCTTGACTCGGGCGCAGCTCAAGAGCAAACTTTGCTTTGCGACAATGATGAAGATGACAGCGATACGGGTGAGTGGGATATTCAGCATCCGCTGGATTACACGCAATTTGATTCATTAGCAATTTCCGATCTATCCTCAAACAGCGCGAGCGAGCTAGATGAGCCTAGTCAGCATGATATTGCCATTCAGCTTGGCTCTGATGACGAAGTTTTGAATGACGAAAATTTGATGCAGCAAAGAGAGAAAAGAGAGGGCGACTGTGATGGCGCAGACGATGAAAGTATTGACAGCCATAGTGTGGTTGAATTTCAGGGTTACGACGACGAAAGGCTGATGGACGATTTTCTCTTTAAAAAACTTGCTCGCGAGTATCTGATAACTCCCGTGTCGTCAGGTAAAGCCCATGCCGCTCCGTCGAGTATATCGGAAGCGTCTGCCGTTCGCGAATCACATATTGACTGCGGTATGATAATGCAGCCATGTGATGTAGATTGCGAAGGCATTAATGTCTTGAAAACGCCGTGGCAGGGATATTGCAATAGCGAAATGCATGAGCAAATGACGTTTGCACGTCATCGCATCGTCCAGTTGAGCCACAACAACCGTAAGCTGCATTTGTTGATCGACCGCGTGGAACGAGATCGGGACAGTTTGCTTATCGAGAATAAGGTACTGCAGACACAACTTGACGGATATAAAGATCGCGAAAGGAGTTACGACTTCTTGAAGAAGGAATTGGTTTTATTGCAGAAAAGCGTGACCCAGCATGAGCACTTTTTCGGTATGCAGACCTTGGACCCACTTCAGCAGATCAGTGCTTCTGGCACAGTTAGCAGCACATCCTCAAGTATTTTGAACGACTTTCGAGCAGCGCTATCCCATGTTACCTCATTTTCTCTCGCTCATCTTAAAATTGAAGAATTGAAGGTATGGGAGCAACAGCTAGAGAGTATATTGAGTGATGTGCGTTCCATTAAGGAAGAACGGGCACTTGAAATGCAAAAGAAGCTAGACCGTCAGGTCGAAGAACAGAATGAACTCAAGCTTTGCGTGATATGTCTTTCCAAAGAAAAGAGCATTTTGTGTCTACCTTGCCGTCATTTATGCCTGTGCAAGACGTGCTCTCGCCGTCAAGAAGTAATGAAGTGCCCAATCTGTCGCCTAGAGATAGAGGAAATGCTAGCTGTGTACTCGTAAAAGCAAAATTTAATTCAGTAGACCGCAATGCTTTGTTGCCACATGAGTTCACCATGAGATACAAAGCATCTGTAAAAGCTCGTTGGAGAAAAGTAAGATGATCTGTCTCTAGGCTTGTAGGCAGCATTCTCAGCAGCACAAACTTTGTTCAAGTATGTCTTGACCACGGTAGAGTAAACTATATTCAGTAATGCTTTTGTGCTACCCTGCTTCCTTGAGACCGAAAAAGTTGGCACGCAGTCAATGCCACCACGCTTTGTTTGGTATAACCTTTCTTTGCTGTACGGAATAATCACGTAAAGAACAAAACGCTATCGACACGTAGAAACTTACAGATTTTCAGTGATCGTGTTCGTTTTGTAGCTGTAGATCTCCAGATTGTCGTTAGAACCGTTGTAGGAAGCTCGACTATAGCAACTGAACCTAAATATGTATAACTTAGTTCTATTATTTTTTTCATTACTTGAATGACGTTGTAATTTACCCGTTGACACTAAAGATGAAGAAATACGACGACACAACAGGTCGGCAAAACCTGGGATCAATACTTTTTCAGTGCTAACGTAAGGATCAATTGTGGACATGAAAGCGTATACACGATAAAGGTCGAGTGGCAATTGCTGAGGTCGATCGGTCGATTTGAATTGCAAAAGTTGCTTTCAACTCGAAACGAGGTCTTAATAAAATAAGCACATTTCAGTCAGACCCCTTGTAAACGTTAAGATGGCAGCAAATTCCTTTAGGTGTTTTCTACACAAGCAGCAACGTGCTCGAGCATGATTATTAATACTCCTCCTTCAGCCCAATGCTTGAAAGTACTGAGCTTTATACAAAAGCGACATGGAATCGTAAACTTTAACGAAGAAACGACTAGGTGGACAAACTGAACAAGTTTAGAATTGGCTTAACGCAAAGACCATACGCGATGAACAAAGATACACTGAATTGCGAATCGCTTCGCATTAAAAGATGCAATTTCTTTTATTTCCAATAGCACTTAGGTTATACAGCTTTCTTAGTTTCTCAAGTCTTCGTTGCAATGCAACGCATACATTGTCTTTCGTTAGCACGTTTCATAAGCAGCAAGCAAATGTTCGAACATTCGGTGCTTGCATTAAAAAGCCATTTCTCTTGATGTCGTTTTGATCCAACATAATTTGTCGATTGACTATTTTCAAGTCGTTCATATTTTCTGTTACCAACCAGTTCATTTTCACATCATCGTAGCTATTAATCAATTATAATACGTCTTCTGTCATTCGCCGCCTATGCGCTAGCTCCCAGCAAGCATCTGATACTCACTATGAAATGTAACCTAGTCGATTACACTGCTACACAGCGTTAGGCGACACAAAAAAAGCGAAGTTTACTGCGATGCCGCTCCTTGTACCGCTGAAGTAAGCGGAAATTCAGCTTTTATAAGTAGACAGTATTGTGTAATTATGTTTTTTTACGTTTTATTATATTCGATGGTAACATTTCCTAGCACTTTGTACATGTGGTGCATACGACGGCACAAACTGTCATTGGTAAGATGCAACTTTAACAATCTTATACAAAATTCTGTAAGAATGACACGTCCACAGGTTCTACGTCTATTGTCAAATGGTACAGAAATATGATAGAACGTATAGTGCAAGGACGTGCGTGACCCGACAGGAACGGGTAAAGGTGGAGGAGAACCATATGAGGTGAAGCAATTGTCGATGAATTCCACACAAAGGAAAGAGTATAATATTAGCTGCTACTACACGCTATTGAAACTTGTAAGGACTAAAGAGCGTTTTGTGGTAGCACAAATGCGGAGGCATCATTTCCATGGCCATTTGGCTCCAACATCAACAAACAACAATTTCTCATCAAATGCGCCAAGCAACCTCATCTTAACAATGTTTACACGACCTTGGGCAAGTCGTTGGAAATGGAAGAGTGTCAAGAATGTTGTATGCTGTGCATAAACTCACAGTGTTACGAGCTAGTGTGTCTCTTGTTGATGAGTATGGACCAGCACACTACTGTCGAGCTAATAAATACTGACCATTCCTCAACTTCACTTCGTGGCATTCGTTTGACAGAATTATTGACGGTATGGACACGCTAAATGCCATGAAAAAGCGCCTGTAAATACCAAAAATCCCTCCCTCAGCGGCATCGTGATCAATCCGTCATCATGCATGCCAACCCCGTTGCGGATATGTGAGCTGGATGAAGTAGATCAAATCGACAACAATGACGGAACAGCGGTAACAGGATGGACAACTGACTGAAGCACACACTATGTCGTTTGTTCCATTTCCACTTATACAAACCGTGTCATATAAAGCGTAATGTCATCCGGCTTTTTCGTTGCCATCTGCGCCATTAGTCGCAGCTGCATGAGGGAATAGTGATGCTTTCGCGACGGCCTCCGCAAAAGCAAATGTCGGTCCAAAATTTGTTTGCCTTTGTGTCTTTCTATCAACTCAAGTGACAGCGCCATGTGGTCAACCCCGCTGGGATCTAATAAGCCACCAGCGGCAAGTTTGGTCTCCTCTAACGTACGCTTACGGTACTCCAAAACCGCAGCAGTTGCGAACGGATACAATTGGCATTCACCAACTCCACCATTGCCATGCAATGAAATCTTCTCGTGTCCCCTGGACATATTAATAAGTTGGTCACATACACTTTGCAATCCCGTCTCACACAGCTCCGATGCCGCTAGAGCTGCAGTAATGTCGTCCTTGTACAGATTATCACCCAATCCGTCGGAGAAAGTAAGACACGTATCGCCTTCTTGAAGCGCAAAGCTCTGCACAACGTAGGCTTTCGGTACCAACTGCTCCCGCAAATTGACAACTGTAGGCATGTTAAACTCACGCAGGACCGCTAGCGTCTCATAAACAACAGTTCCTCGCCGTACGACCAAACATTTGGAATCTCCAAGCGAGAACGTCAGCAAAGTCCCTGTCCATCGGTTAAAGTACGATACAGCCAACGTCGTTGCCAGTCTTGATTTCCTATGCTGAAAACAATTAATGCGCGCCGTTTTAATTGCGTCCACCACTCCACCTTCAAAAGCTGCTTGGTCCAATTGCTCCCTGTTGTGGCTACTCAGTTCCTCCAACACAATGCGTACACATCTCACAAGTTCCTTCGATAATATAGCAGAAGACACTGGCACTCCGTCGTAATCAACGAGTGATTGGCGTCCAAAGGGGGACGAAACTCCGTCCGCCACAATGTGAAAATAGCAGGACGCTGCTCCTGCATCTTCTCCGTGGAAATCAAAGGCTGCCTGTGCATGTTGAAGCATATGCTGCTCTCCCCACTTAAATCGAGCATTACTCACAGGTGCTGCTCTTTTAATGGAATTATTGACCTGGAGTCTCCATCCGCCGTTATTCACACGTGTCGATTTTTTTATGAACAGGTCCGAACGGGACCGTAATTTGGCAATTTTCTGATGAGTCCTGCTTGAAACCATGTGAAAAGCGCTTGCCAGAGCTTCTGCCGGTGACGCAGTCTTCTGTGGACGCGGAAAAAGGTCGCCAAGGGACGATGCACGTCGTTTGCATGCCGAAAACCGTGACGCAGTCGTAGGTAAAGACACGACTGGCGGTGTAAGCCACACGGAGGAGTTTTTTATTTCATCGTCTTTTGGAGAGTGTTGGTCAGTCACATGCATTGAAGACAGCGGTACGGGCCGCGTAGGAAGCAAAACGTGTGGCATTTTCTGACACTTGAATTGACGACGTGAGGTGGCTGCTTCTAAATATCGAATGTAGTAATAGTGCCTCCTTATTTCAGGTAAAGGGGTTGAGGTTTTAGTCAGAAAACTATTGGTGGTATCGTCTGATGTTGAATTCAGTGGTGGCAAAAATTGTGATGTAACACTGCGAAATAGACTGGCTAAAAGCTACGTTTACTGGCTGGGGACAAGGATCGATTTGAGTTTTTCTTAAATTACAAGCTATTTCTATGATCTTGCCTTATAGTAGTAAGTAATATTGAGCGAGTGCAACGAAAATTGTTACTATTACACTGGTTGTTTACAATCGATAGAAATACTCAATTGGTTTTAAAGGTAAATTAATACGACCTTTATTTCATGGTGAGGTCGCTCCGTTTTCAGGCCTTATTTTTGTTCATTTAAAGCAATTGATCCAAATAATGATTTCTTTTGCGATTACTAGCAATTTCAACTTCATAAGGGCTTGAAATGGAGCATTATTTAATAAATGGAGACTCAATATATTCGATATTATTAAAATATTAAGTAAAATAAAACCTTTTAATAATTTCGACGATTTTTTTAGTGACTGAACTCTCACGCATAGACAGGTGTAAAAGCTCACATAACAACCGTAGACAAATAATAGAAGGACGGTAGTTGTAATCCCTGAGAAAGGTGTATTGTTGTGGTACCTAATATGAACTGCTGAAACTATCGGAGTCGTACTCACTGTGGCGCGTGTAATTACACCGACTTTATTTTGACGTCTGGAAAGATCCAGGCCTTCTTGGCCTGCTGGACGGTTGCCCAGCTTGTTGCTTCGTCAGAATATCGCTTCAACGCTGCGTTGGAGAACGATACATAAGATTAAGGACTTCAGCTTTGACGTTTTGCCTCGAGCAATAGATATAGTATACTTTAGCTTTCTCAGTCTATCATGTGTTTGAGCGGTATGAAGGACAAAGCCTTCGCGATGTACCTGGCGAGAAACCTCGTTGCAGACCGTGGGCGGCCAAATAGTCTTGTTAGCTGATGTATTTGACGACCGGAGATGAGCTCAATAAATTTATTTTGCATAGAAAACAGTTAAATTGTCATGACATCTGACAACTTTATCGCGACACGATGATTATAAAATTTGTCAAAGGTCTACTTTACCAATGAAGCTGCTGGCCTTTTTTGAAGAACTGTAAGATGCTCGCACGTCGCGATACTACTTTCAACGACTGATGACAACTTTTTTACCATTGTCACCATGTCCGCATCCTCTCTTCGATGTCCCCTTTTTTGTATGTCATGACGAAGCAATCTTTACCCATCCTGCGTGCTCTGCTGGGTAGTATCAGCTGTGTCGATTGCCTCTAGTTGCGCTTGACTTGTGGTCGAACCAACTACCTTACTCGTGATGAAGGTGGTCCCAGCGCCTGATCTGGATTTGTCTGCCCAAAATTGTAATACAATATTTGACTTATTTATTCGGTATAGAACAAACATGGATTTTTCCAGAAGAATGTAGCTGAAGTGACTGGCAAGAAAAAGACAAAAAGAGACGGTACAATTGTGTCGATAGCTGAGAAACGGAGTACAATCAAGTCTGCAAGCCACGGAATCAGACTGGTTTAGGTGCCATACACATCTTTGTTGACAAGATAGCAGCTAAGGAATCCAACTCGTGTCGACTTATCTCCACAAATATTAAGGCTACTGTGAGCGCATTCCAGTTTCATTGCTCATATCCCGAGTATTTGTGTTGCCAGACCAGAAACGATTCGATTGGAGAGCAGAGCCTTGAGTGATGCCGCCTTTCTGTTTTGATGTAGATAGCACAGGTACGCTGTTCTTAGCACTGTTGCTAGTTTCACGTTACGTTTGACTTTTGAGACGAGTCTTCTTTTGCGCAAGACCTGTCAAGTTTGTATCTTATATGACGTCCAAATTGCTTTCAGCTGGCTCCTGCGTGAAACCTCGCAGGGATTACTTTATAGACGCTGTTGACTTTCAGTGGACAGAGAAAATAATACTGGTGATGTTGGAATCAGTTTGCAATCGTATGGATTGATGACGTCTGTGTTTTGCCGACTCAGACGGCCCAGTATACAGATAGATGACAGATGCACCAAAATCTATGGAGCGGCTAGTGCTTCGCAGGTGGTACACTGACAAGCAGATGCTTCCATTCAAGAGATGCAACATGACTTGTTGATATTCATGGGGAAGTAGCTTCATCGGCTCCTTACTTAAGAAAATGGAACCTCCCCGAATGTTGCTTCATAAGATCTACCTTTTGCATTGCTCCAGTACCTTACGCTCAATTATGACCACCGCAACATCGTTGTTTCCATGCATCTCTCAAGGAATGAAAAAAAACACGTCAGAATTGTTGTGAACGATCTCCCTGCTGAATTGTGTCCTGGTTGCACGACTGTATCATGGCCTGAAAACCTATGAAAAGGAAAAGGCAATGGCTTCGGTCAGGTCGCGGCAAAATTTTAATAAATCGCACCTTGATGTCGCAGTAAGCTACCATGTCGATAAGCGAGATTCAATACATATAGCAATACATTTGAGTTCCCCAAGGTGGCTTGCAGCGCATGAAAATTGCGACTGTTTAATCGGCGCGCTCCACGATTTCAGTTGACACGAATAGCTCGCAGTTCTTTGTAAGTTTTGACGTTAAGATTGCACCACAAGCGCTTAGGTAACTACTGATGTCGTGCCATAGATAGGTCGCAGTGTTTTCTTTCATAGCCGACAAAGTGTGTCGTTGTCATCCCGGCAGCAACCGATAGAGATAGTTGTTTCAGCTGACAAGTCGGTGCTTGCACATTAGTTAGTACCAGTCAAAATCTAGGGATTGCCAATGTCGCCGTCATACTGCACATTTAATGTAGCTAAGCTAATTTGAAGGCCACCAACAAAAACTCAGACACGATTGTTGCCGGACTTTTGCTTTGCTGTCCCAATAATGAGCGATGAGTCATCGATAGATTTTGCCAAAAAAGTGATTACATCCTGTGACCACGAAGACGCGGTTGTCTTATGTTTGGTGTAGTTCACCACAAACATGTAGGTTCAAGCAAGCAGATGAGATAATGCCGTCGTTTGCGAAAATGACTTGTTGGGTATGTTAGAAGTATGTGTGACGTTGTAAACCATTGCAAGGGCAAAGGACTCACACTTTGATTTAAGCTTCCTCATGTCAGCCATTGCAAGAAGCGGCTTCAAACCGAAAAATGAAGACGACATGCAGACTTTTGCGGCAAGCAGAGACAAAAATGGAGTTTTACAGCGATAGGACACACAAGTCGGGAGCAACATGTAGTTTGTCCGTCTATTCATGTACTTAAGGACTACCCGCGGCCATGTTGCTAAGGCGTAGCGATTTTCTAAACTTCTTCCGAAGACTGCGTTTTCGACTAAAGGCATTCTGCAGCCTGGATGAACCTGCCTCTCGGATCTTGGCGAGCACTAGGCTGTTTTCGGATGATTCAATACTAGTCACAGTACCCGCTGTACCTGCACGACCTGTGCGACCAATGCGATGCAGGTAGCTCACCACGTCCCCAGCAAATTCGAATTGTACGACATGGCCCACCTTGGTAGTATCCAGGCCTCGCGCTGCAATATCCGTGCAAACAACGACGAGGTCCCTGTCGGCATCGGCTTCACTGTCTAGTCGCTTTAAAAGCAGCTGACGTTGTGCGCGACCTACCTCTTTGTGAAATAGTGCACAGTTTACCATGCCCTTGTCATTTTGCAAAAAGTCGAAAAGCGCGTCGGCACTGGCGATGGAGTTGGTAAAGACTAGTGTCTTTTCCCCTCCCGACTTTTTCAACTTGCCCATATCACTGTCTCCCGCGAACGTCAAAATATCGTACAAGAGTTCACAGCGAGCATACTGCTTGTCCACGAAACGATGGCGCGTCATGTAAGCTAGCAAGTTTTGCGTACGAAATGTCACCTCTGGCAACGTCCGGTGAAAGCCCTACACATCACTACGATAAATTTCAAAGAAACCAAATGAAAGCAGCGACGAGAACACTACCTTAGTAATGGCGAATACAGCCGACGAAAATTTATAGTCGATGTAGTGGCGCACAGAGCGTTTACCATAGTCTGGGATCGTAGCGTTCACAGCCACAACAAAAAGAAAAAATAACACAAAATCCGCAACAAGTTAAGGACGCCATCGGGCATGGTACATCGACAGAAGAGATACGCAAGTCCTACACAAGGTGAAGAGGATATAGCACTAAAAATGGTCTGGGTATGTTTCGTAGCAACATCTTCACCTCGAAATTCTCGAGGTTTTGCGTCTGTATCTCCACAACGATTAAGCTCAGATTTCAACAAAGGTTGGTTGCGGATCGTCGCAAGAATTTGCTTGGTATCCTTCTCAAACCCGCCACTGAGCAGCATGTCGGCTTCATCAACGACGACCATCTGAGTGAAAGCGAAGTCTTTTGGTTTGGTGGCACGCAGCAGCGCTCCAGGAGTGGCAAACACTAGCGGACACGCACGCTTGTCACTGTGTCCTATGCTTTGCCTAGAAGACGACAAGATCACTGCAAGTTGTGCAAGCTCTGGTTCCACCTGAGTTAGCACCGTCATCAACTGACGCACCAATTCCTGGGATGTAGTGAGCACGAGAGCAATTGGAAGGCGCATCTCGCTGAGTGGCAGCGAGTTCCGACTCAATTGCTCCACCACGGGCAGCAAAAATGCTAAAGTCTTACCTCCACCCGTTTCTGCAGCTACAACCACGTCCTGGCCTGCCAGAATGGGTGGAATAGCCTTGCATTGGACAGAAGTTGGGGTTGTTAGACCTAATTGTGACAAACGATTGGATAGCGCATTGCTGAGGCCCAAAGATTGAAAAAAACGAGCGGCATAGATTACATAAGACGTATGACGCTGACGTGACAGGATGAAAGAGGAACGGATTGCGGAGACGGCGCGCACTTGGTGAAGGTAAATGCCCAGCGATAGCATGATCCTAAATGCTTAGTGGCTCAATGTTTTATCCAATAAATTTAGCCAATAAATAAAATAGTGAGCAAGATTTAGCTACAATTGGTATAAAAGAACAATTGAGGCTTGTAGGCAGCAGCACAATTTGTCATAAGAAAGATTTTCTTCTTAAACTATGGGTACTATTATCACAGTATGCGGTTATTTATAAAAACGAGTATCTGAAAATAGCGTTAAGCAAGCGAGCGATTTCTTCAAGCACGTTATGTTATCAACCGTATCTAAACAGGGATAAGAGGTTATGGTATAGGAATATACATAGAGGGATGCAAAATACATAATAATATTGTAACCGTGAAGCATCGGGACGGCGGTCAAGATAGGTACAAGTTCGTATTGGGTGGCTGTCGTGCATATTACTTAGCATTGTTATTATTAAAGCAATTGTTAAAACTGACATTTCGGGCCGAACACTCTCGTCGGGAAAGGGTAAGAACATCTCAGGATGTGCTCTAGACACATTGGTGTGATGGTTGAGTAAGCAAGTACAAATTGTTAAGACAAAGGTAAAACCAATGGCACTTCTAATTTTTACGGCATCTCATAGCCGTATTAAAGTCTAACAGGTTATAAGCCAAATGGATAAAGCAGTTGCCGCGAAGAAACACCGCGTGCAGTCTAAAGCAAGAACTGGCCACGAAAGGGTCAGCAGTATAGGAGGAGAAGATGAAATTGTAAAGGAACAACAGAAGGACACGCAGGAGATCTCCTTACAGACCTCACGGAGCGCATGGAGCGCATGGAGGCGTCGCAAGGGCTACAATAGGAGAATGGACGTTCAAAGAGTCACGAGGATAGCGTGACTGGATCAATATTGGGACAGGAATGCCGATGAACAGGAAAGAGTTGAGTGTATCACTGCCTCGGCGAGTATCCGCAGTGTCGTCACCTCCTACCTACCTGGATACTCTGGTGCAGCAGCCAATGTTGAGATGGTGCAAGCGTCGCACCCAGCGCTGCCGCAGCATTACGTACCGCCACCGATGTATCAACCGGCGCCGCCACCACATGTTGCACCAGGACTGCAGTAAGATAGTGAGCCAGACACGAGACACAGGAAGCTAGGTATTCTTCCTTTCGATCATAAGGAGCTTTACCCAAGACTTGGAAGTGGTCATCTATCGTGAGACAACATGTTGTGAGGCAGATTACGTTCTCAGAACGAGCAAGTGGTTTTTAGTGGAGCGAGGATGTCTAGTTGGACGTTCTCGGACACCACTTCACCGGATTGGCGGAGAGGTTTTACAACGCCAGGTCGAAAGATGGTGGGAATAATATCCAATACGTGATCATGCAATGTAGCATATACTTCACACAGTCCCTCAATGTGGACCTCGAACCCTCATCGTTAGACTTCTGTCTTTTAAGGTAGACCTTGGTGCCTAATCGGTGGTCCCTCAACCTCGGTCCCTTGAGGTCAACCCTGGTCCTTCTCTGTCGACCTCGGTCCCTCGAGGTAGACCTCGTTTCTTCGTCAATGGACCTTGAACTGGTCCTTCGAGTTCGACCGGCATATCCACTCGAGGCACCCCAAAGTCGACCTCTTTCAAGGCCGATACCATATCTTTATCAAGTCTTCTAAAGAGTGCAGTCCGCCAGCCGACGGGTACATAAGGTGAGAGTAGGTCTATACGCGGCATCGAGGTACCCCCTCCGACAGTCGGCAGTACGGCACAGTGAGTGGCTTGGGGTCTCATCACGCAGTGTTGAGAACCCAATCTACCACAGATTTACCGCACCACAATGAATATGGTGCACCGCATGATTTTTGCTTGTGGACGACCGCTTAGGTTTGGGAGATGCTGTTAAATATGCAGCATATATTCTTAATCGAAGATTGAAAAAAATTGGCTTGGAAAGGCAGCCAGCACTAAAGATGCTTACGAATAGTACCCCATACTTAGAGAATATAGTAGTATTTGGGTCAGAGCGCACGATGAACCAGGAGGGACGCGCAGAATAAGTCGCTTGGCGAGCGTGGTAAACAAGGGTTGATCATCGATAAATAGTGACGAAATGAAAGGGGTCCGATTCATTATCCCGAGCATAAAAATCGTGATCGCGACTCAACAAGTCATAAACGTGAAGAAATTGAATGAGGAGCGGGACAAGCAGCTATGTTGCGCGCATATCACGAGACTGATAAGGCAGCCAAGAATTACAATGAATATTTGTAGAAGATACGCTTGGCATCGGTTTTGGGAAAGGTTCCAAAAGTTAAAGACAGAAGAATGGATGGATGCGCGTTGCGCAGAGGACAAGAGCAGCGGCGCATAAGCTGCGCGTAAAAGCGGCTGAAACACAACCATTGAGAATAGTGACGTGGTGAATAATGCGCATGAGGCAGACACGAAGGACAATGGACAAGCCATGAAAATGGACTTCAAAACTAGTGAATGGTTGCACGGGAGTAAGAACTGAGAGCTCTTGAGGAGAACGAATTGTGCCGGTCGTCATCCTACCCAAAATAGTCACGTGCTGCATACAAAAAGGTTGTTTCAGACCAAAACGGTTGTAGACGGGGCTATCAAAAGATTTTAGGCAAAATAAGTTGCCTGTGACAACTAAAAATCATTTGGAGTGGACGTTCGCTGCTGTTACCCGTGTAGACGAGCTACCGTAGCCAAACTTGAAGGCGTAAAGCTTACAGAAATTTACGCCTTCAGCACTTGAACTTCACAAGGCTAGCGCTACAAGCTTATGCGTTCTTAATTATACAGCTAGCGTCTGTACAAGACCGCTATCACAGATACTACTTGCTATTCAACGAACAATGCTATAAGTAGCAAAAGCTTACTAAAGCAGGTTTAAAGCTTATGTTTTTATGTAACGGGTTTACACAAAGATGTGTGTTTTACATACACACCTGCCACACCATTGTGGTGTGGCTGTACCTTGGGTAGAGTGGTAGGTTCATGTGACCGTATTTCAGGTACGAAGGGTCGCATCGTGGCAGAAAGCCACGTGGCTACTATACTTAGTTAAGTATAGTGACTATACAATACAATACATGCATGTATATTAATTTGCTATAGAGCCAGTAAATAGTGACTAGCGCTAAGTATAGAGTAGGCGCTTCTATATTTAGTGCTAGAAGATAAACATATAAATAAATCAGTTTGAAACCTGCTCTGAATAGCACAAGTGCTAGAGCGTTCTCATCCTTTCTAAAAGAAACTGTATCTTTAATACTAGTCTCTTGGAGACGTTGTTGTTTGCAACCAAAAGGCATAAGCTTGTGAAGCTAACCTTGGGAGAGTTAAGAACCCTAAGACATATAAGCTCTTTTGGGCTTGTCTTTCCTCTGCACGCAGTGCATAAGTAAATAGCTCTGCTACAGTAGATCTGCTACACCTGGTAGC